AGAGAGAGAGAGAGAGACAGTGTCCCTAGCCCTGGCGAAATAAAGAGAGTTCTCAGACACAGACGCGCGCCACGGCCTTCGGGCCAAGGGGTTTCTTGCTGCCCCTACACGCCTAGCAAGCAAGCAAGCGAGCAAGAGCGAAAGAGAGATTCCCGAATGGCTCCATCAAATCCACGAAAAGCACCCCAGCGCATCTTTCAAAGGGCTGCAACGCAATAATCATGCTTCTGGGGTCTGGTTGACGAGTCAGGATGATCTGTTCCGTCCGAGCTGAAACGTTCCAAGCCAGCTTTCTGTGATCGAGCCCCAAGTGGTCTTCATGAGTCTGTCAGCATGTCCGCAAACCGCCCGAAAAAGCAGGTGTAGTGCTTGCGAAAGAGCAGCAATCAAACCTTCCCATTTTCGGTTGTGCAGTTTGCCGTTCTTGTTCTTCCACCAAAGCTAAGGCCCCGCCTGGAGGCTCAAGGATCATGGAAGCCGAGCTCCGCTATCCAGCGCATGGAGGACTTCTTTATCATTGCAGCTTCTTTATTTTCAGACCTTGAGCTGATGCACATGACTGTCTGGACTTTGGTGCGAGATGCCCGGACTCTGGTACGATGTACCGGACTCCCCTCAGAACCCATTGCGCAGCACTCAACCTTCCAGCTTGCCCTGTTCTGATACGCACTGCAGCCTGCTCGCCATCGATGCCCAAGCTCTAGAACTCGCCAGGACTGGCGACTCCGAGCACTTGCCCTTCATGCAGCCCTGCTCCAGGGGCTTGCCAAGATTTTGGAAGTGTTCTCGCGGCAAGGCGATGCATGGGGCGAATGTAGGCTTTGACTGTTCTGATATGTGGAGTCTGGGTTTTGCAGCGATGTCCTTCTGTGGAAGGCGGTGCACGCTGCCAGGCATATAGTCCATGAACAGACCTGGCCTTGTTCATGTGAGAAGTCACCGCAAAATCGACATATCAGCAACACCTGCGTGCAGGCGTGCTTCATGCTGTTGAGACGCAGCTGCCTGCAGTTCTGAACTACCTCGCGGCATGGCTCGACTTGCTCAGCTGTCTCCCTTGAAGTTTGATGTTTTCTTGTGGCCGTGGTCTTTCGTACCGTTATCTCATGGGGGCAGGGGGGGGCGAAGTCTAAGAAGCCACAGAACCCGGAGTCTGCTGCTGTCATGAAGCACCTCAGCCTAAGCC